TCCCATGTGCGTGGAATAAAACAAATGTTTTATAATTTTTTTAAAATTTTTACAAATAGTGTCAAAATAAGCAGTTATGCGTACCCTTCTAGCTTGTTTTCATGTAGTATTTTCTCCTTGGCTTCTAGTCTCTTTCTTAATCAATTTTATTTACAGATGAGTTTTTTTGTAATTCTTTTAATATTTCTTTTTTATTTTGATACTCTCGATCATTTAAATCGGATATTATATTCTCATGGTCAAGAAGACCATGTTCTTTATCTGGTAAGGCATATTTTTTTTTTGACCGTCAGTCAGTTATAAGAGTTATGTCATGTCGTGATAACTACAAGCCTCTGAATAAAATCAAAAAATGTCATTTATTAATAAAGAAAAATTTTATTAGGTGTGATTTTTTCCATAACATAATTTAGCATTTTTTACTATCACATGTCATGATAGCTGCGCAACTGATCATTATATTACGTATTATGATTTAATGAGTGCTATATTAGATTTAATTAGGAATGTGTACCATGTGGATCTATTATGGATATCCTTTAATCGTTGTTTAGAAATATCTTGTCTAATTCGTTATTCTGTAGTAGGCTTCATAGACTAGGAAGTAATCCTCCGGCGTAGCTAGTTGCCCTTGGTTTTTCTTCTCAAAGTGTAAGTAATCTCAGTTTTGCTAGACCTTCGCAGTAGCACAATACGTGTTCTGCAATTTCCTCTTCTTTTTGACAGAATCGCACAAGGTCTCTTCTGTCAGACCGATATTATACATATGTTTGATAAGCCTATAACGCCCTGTTAAGAGACCTACTAGTACTCTAGTATTTTTCCTATTAAGGCTCTGTGAGTTTAGGATGAATCTTTTAAAAACTCTTTGGCCCGTTTCTGTCCTGATGAATTTTTTAGCCACTGCTTTGTGCATCTTCTTATAATTGTCTCTGTGACGCCGAAGGGTTATAGGCCAATAAGGGTCTTTAAGGCTCCTTCTCGGACTAGTAAATCAGCTTCTTTGTTGCCTTTGTCCTTTGTAGCCTGGTACCCAGGCTAAGGTTTGTTTTTTTTTACTACCTATCTGTTTGGGCTTCCAAACAGTCCCACAAAAGCTTTGAGTGTACCTGCATAAAACTGAGTGTATGAAAATGATTTTTCCATTTACCTTCAATCTTAATACCTTTTTTGCGCAAATGATGTATTGCTGCTATTTCTGCCTGAAATACTGTTGCATGTTTACCTAAGCCTTTGGCTTAGTACTATATATAGCTACTCCTGAACCTTCATGGTTTTTGAAGCCGCCTGTATATACTTTGGGAGCATTTCGTCTGACATTCCCATTATTTGGTAGTTCTCCAACTCTTTATATGACGTTCATGCAAACTGCTTATGGGTAATGAACCTTTGTGCAGTCTGTATGTGACAGACCTGGCTTCGCCTTGAATGAATAGATGTAGTGGTGACTTCTTTAGCTGCTGTTACAGTCGTTCTCATGGCTCCCGTGGTACTCAGGCATGCTTGTCTTTAAATACCATTGAGCTGTCGAATGGCTTCAGTTTGCCGATTCTTTGGCCACCATACCACCGACTCGTAGGTTATTATTGGCCTTATGACTATATAGCCATAGGGATATTTTCGGGCCGAACAAGGGGCACGTATGCTATATTTATGACAAATAATGCCCAAAAATAATAAATTTGGCGCATAGGTCAACAATAATAAGGAAATATTGACTAGAAAATTTTTATATCGGAGTATGTAGGGGCGCGCTTCAAAACATCATAGCATTTATTATATACGACCAAATGTATTAAATCGAGCATATACAGACTCAGAAATCATTACCCTTTTAGAAAAAAAATATTACATAATTTTTTCATAGCGATCTTCGTCTTAATCCGCGCTGAAATTCTCATTTTGTTGAACATTGCAAATCAACCCCCTACTTTGGCGCGTCGTAGAGCGAGAACTATTGGTCGCAATGTGGAATTTAAAATTGGACATATTTAACTTGAATTTTTTTTTTTGATAGCACTTACCACAACGGCGCTATTTCCCGAAAAGCGTCGCGACGCAGAGTTTTCATCCCTACACCCCTCGAGCGGCAACCCCTCGAAGTCGCAAACTTGGGTGTAATATTAGGGAACCTATGTCTACCATCCCATTAAATTTAATTTCTTTCCGACCTTTTGCGAATAGACCTCTTATTCTTTACCCACCGCTTGGACTATTAAGGGCATATTTCAAATAAAATCAACATTTTCCTACAAAATATTGCAATCCGTTGCCGAACCCCCAATAAAGATAACAATTAATGAAAAAATAAAAAAAAAAATCTGCCACTGATCAATTAAAAAAAAAAAGAATAAAAATAAAAAGTTAATTGTTTGGTCGCATATGTCGGAAAGCGCATTTATCGGGGCGGATTTGTCAAGGCGCTTTTGTCGGGGCGCATCTAACCGAGGTGCAATTGTCGGGTAACCGATTAAAAAATGTGTTATGCTGAATTTATAATTTAATCTTTTTGTAAGCAATCCAATATCACTGTTTTTGAGAATTTGCCTATTCATGTAATATTGTTGACATTCTTATTTTATTTCTGTAATAGGGTGAAATGTAATATTGAATATTATCGTACTTCTAAAGAGATCAAAACATACCTTATAAATCTCGCATTCTATCTGTAATTAATTTTCTATTTTTTATCTTTTTAATATTATAAAATTATAACAGAACAAAAATTGTTAGTAAATGATTCCATCGCAAAAATCCTCCAAATAAGACCAATTTATGTCAAAACGGTGGGATAAAAAAAACATGAAAAAATTCAATAACTTTCCTCTTATGATATTGTTTTTCTTTTTATATCTCCTTTTTCCAGACAACAAAAATATTACCCTAACACAAATCTGCTGGAGGAAAAAATCCCCCAATAATAATTTCGCGAAATCCTGTTAGCATCAAGACATTCACGTGAAAAAAGAACAATATATGAAATGTTCGTTTCGAAGCCAGACAAATCATTTTATCGAATTTACCTATTCTCCTTTTCTGATGGCATTTGGTCTGATATATTTTATGATATACTCAGAGCAGGAATAGCTAACAATAGAAGCCACAAGTGTAAGTTTTTCTAAAATGACAGTGAAATGTAGTTCGAACAATATTTAATTCTATAAACAGATCAAAGTCCTATAGACGTCCTACAGACAAAAATTACGAGATTTGACTTTCAAACTCACTTATTAAAAACTAATAATTTTATTTTTTGAAAATACTTTTAATAATTTCTATATTATAAATACAAAGTAAAATATATATCAGACTAAAAAATAATATTAATTGGCAATCTATTTATACTAAAAATAAATGCTAAAATAAATGCTGACATCGGTGGACATTGGCCGGCCTTGGTTGCGTGCTAAACCTTTGACCATGTGGAATGTGTTGAGTCGACAGGTCAATGTTCTGTAACTTCTCCATCTCCTAAAGGAGTCTTGTGAGGGACGAACAAGACTTTGCCAGTTTCTTCATCATCGGTTGATGTCTGTTGTCTGCGAGAACTTTGCTCTTTGATGGGAATGGCCGTTTGAGTACTTCTCAATATTCTTAAGTGTTCTACTATTGTGGACTGAAATCGCTCAATGATTCCATTGGACTAAGGGTTGTCAGGTGTTGTGTAGTGGATTGAAATTTTATGAACATCTACGAAATTTTGCATAACGCCGTTTTTGAATTCTGTATCACTATTGGCAACAATCATCTTTGGCAATCCATGGTGTGTGACGAAGATTAAAAGTGCACCTACTATGTTGACTACGTTGCTCCTTCTAGAGGATAGGCTTGACCATATTTTGAAAATGCATCCACAATTGTTAGAAATTTCTGTCCACTAGCTTGAAAGAAGTTGATGTGAACTATCTCTAGAGGTTTTGTAGACGTTGGTGTGAGCTTCGGTTTCGGCGGAGTTCTGTTATATTTATTTTCTTGACATATATCACAGAAATTTTATGTCTTTCCGTAGATTTGGCCAAAAATATCGTTTTCTAATTTGTAATTCTGTCTCGTTTACACCTCTGTGATTTGTTTCTCCCTTATGGTAATTTTCTATAATGCCTTTTTAACTTTCTGGATTGTTCACGTCTTCTAATAGTTTGTTACATTTCACTATATCATAGAAGTTATGTTTAAACATCTTCCTGATAGTTTCACTTAAGCCTTGGTTTCTTTAAACACTCCGTCCTTTTATCCAACCAGAGTATTTAAATAGGAATGGTTTTCTTGAATCCGCTTAGCTGAGCAGGACGGCGTCATGCCGCTGATTTGTCGCGAAGAGTCGGTTGATATCTGTTGAGTTTGATATCAGCGGAATCGTCGGCGTGTGCGGAGACTATATTGTTATTACTTTTAAAACAATGAGTGACAAATTCACACATACAGATGACATCATGACTTTATTTTTAGGTTTCTTGGAAATTATGTCCTTTATAAAACTCAACACGAATTCAAAAAGATCTGTAGAAAGTCTAAAATACTCCCTAAATTTGGTTTCATTTCCAAAAAGCCTCCGCACAGTGATATTAAAGGCACCTTCTGTATCGCGACACAAAAACAACTCATCCACTGGCTTATTGGAAACTTTGACAGTTGCAATTGCCAGTTCCTCTTGTTCTTCCTCTTCCAACAATAATAACAATGCAAACAATTTATTTGCATCCATTTTAGTACCTTTCGTTTACATTCATAATACATAAACAGCACATACAGACATAGAGAAAGTATCATTTTCTATATTTTTTAACAAACCACCTCGGGCGAAAATTGCTGTCCTCAGCGGTCGACGGACTGTCCGCTCACCGCGACGGAGTGTTCAAAGAAACCAAGGCTTTATATAGATGTATAATTTATCGCTTTCGAATAGGCATGCATTTTTTTTTGGCTGTAGAAAATCTTTGAAAAATTTGACTATATCGACTTGAAGATCGTTCTTTTCCAATTGGACGTGGACTCGTAGTTTATTTGGAAAATTGTGTAATATTGCTGGAGATTTTGCCTAAATAATTCACTGTTTTGAAGATAATTTGCTGATTGTAGTAGTTTAAGGGTTTTTCTGAAATTGGGATCCCTAATTCTGGATTTTCTATTGCAATATGTCTCGTGTTATCATCGTCTTCTTCGGGATCTGCGTTTTGTTCTTCCTTTTCTAAGTGAGTATCCAGTTCTTCTTGTAGGATCTCGTCAATGATTTCGTCAATTTTTTGATTTTCATCGGGATTATTGCACATTAACCTTGCGTCGTCATCGAAATTTTCAAGAAATTTTTCTATACCATGATATGTGTGTTGGATATCTTTGGTGTGTACTTCTATTCTTGACAAAGCGTCTGCGTTAGTGTTTGCTTTTCCTTTTTTATAGGCTACCTCGTAATCGTATTCTTCTAGTCGAAGCCTCCATCTGACCTTACTTCGAATTTGGCTCTTTCAGTGAAAATAGATATTAGAGGGGTCGATGATCTGACAAGATTTTGAACTATTTCCCAAATAGGTAAGGTCTGAAGTATTTAGTGGCCCATACTATTGCAAGCATTTTTTTCTCGATCATGAAATATTTGATTTCTGTCTCGTTTAGTGTCCTAGAGGCGTAGGCGATTAGTTTGTCACTTCCAACAGGGCCTTGAGATAGAATGGCTCCAATAGCAAAGTTGCTTGCATCTGTTGTGAGGTTAAAATGCTTTGTATAATCGGGATACTAAAGCAATGGTTTGTTGGTCAAAACGCTTTTGCAGGTGTTAAAACATTTAAGAAACTCTTGAGTATGTTCTATCTTAGAGTCCTTTTTTAAAAATTTGGTCAACGATTTTGTAATCCTAGCAAAGTCCTCGATACATTTCCGATGGTATCCAAGGAGGCCTAATAATCCACGAATCTCGTTGGTTGTTTTTGGAATTGGATAGTTGACGATGGCTTGAATTTTTGCAGGATTCAGTTTTATCCCGCTTAGAATGACGAGATGTCCTAGGAAATTTACTTCTTTCTTTAGGAACTCGCATTTGTCTATTTGAGTTTTTAGTTTGCTGTCTTAGTCGTTGAAATATTTTTGCCAGATTTACCTTGTGTTCTTGCAAGGACGTTGAAAATACAATTATGTCATCCATATACACCAGGCATATTTCTCCTTGCAGTCCTCTTAAAACGTTGTCCATGACTCGCTGGAATGTTGCAGGGGCATTTTTGAGACCAAATGGAATTCTTACAAACTCGTTCTGCCCATTTTCTACGTTGAAAGTCGTCCCTGGTATCTTTGGCTGATTAAAGAATGGTTTATGGTATTTCTGGAATGATGGTCCAAAAGTAGGTTGAGGGTTTGTATATCTCATCATTAGTGTCGCCATAGATTGTGGTGGTTTAAAAACTTGCTGCTGCCATGGTAGTGGTGCTCCTGGGGCAGGTTAAAATTGTGATGATTGTGTATAGGCTGGCTCTTGTTGGTGAATATGTTGCCTTTTAGTTTGGACGTTGTGGGTTGGTCTTTCATTTTGAGGTGTTGTATTCTAATGGTAACTTTTCTGGACATTCCTACTATTATTTTCTTCTTAAATGTATTGAATGGCTGCAGTTAGATTGGTTGGCCTCATTGTTCTTATTGTAGACCCCATAGGTTCTCGAAGTCCTGCCAAAAAGATAGTTATAAGGCTTGTTGGCGAAAGAATTCCTGTTTGCTTTTTTTTATTTCTGAACTCTGGGTATGTAGTTTGACATGATTTTCTTGTAAAACTGATTTGGCGATTCATTTGGACCTTGTCGCATGTTTACTAGATCTCTTGTTAGGGTGTTTTCATTACGTTAATCCTCGAAGTTTTGGATGAGCGTATTCTTAATGTCATTCCAGCTTTCGCCACCGTATATTGATATAATCTCTTTTGCTCTTCCCGTTCGTTTGCTGATTATCCTATGAAGTAAAAACTGGTTCTGGATGTTGGCCAAGTTGCTTTGATCGTAGTACTGGTTTAGAATTAGGGTGGATACCTTGATAAATTCGTACAACTCGTTTGGATTTCCATCGAAATTTGGGAGGATGCACAGGTTCTTGACATCGAATGGTGGTACAACCATGTTGTTAGTAGGAGAAACGTCGGTACTGGTTAGTGTCCCGTCTAGGTTTGAATTTGAACCCCTTAAGGAATTAAGGTTTTGTAGTTAGTCTAACTCTTCTGCACTTGAGTTAAAACTTCGTGTAGGAGTGTCTAAGTCTTCGTCTGAGTCTGACATATATTGCTTACAAGATGCAGATGATGCTCTATTGCAGCCCTGAAATCTTGGTTTACTTCCTGTTCTTACTTCCTAGGGTGAACTTCGCTTTGGTTTTCCCTTGGAGGTGGGTTCTTGATTTGGATAGTGGATAAAGGGCTATTCTACTATCCTACTGACTGCGCCAATTACGAGTTTTGAATTTCAAACTCACTTTTTAAAAACTAATAATTTTATTTTTTTGAAAATACTTTTAATAATTTTTATATTATAAATACAAAGTAAAATATTTATCTAACTAAAAAATAATATTAATTGGCAATCTATTTATACCAAAAATAAATGCTGACATCGATGGACATTGGCAGGTCAATGTTCTGTAACTCGTATTATAACACAAAGTTACACTGACAGAACCTTCCTTTCCCATCAATTAGTAAATAAAATCAGAGTTCCTCCAGGATATATACTAGAATCGATCCTTTCTATTTTTTACCGTATGTTTTGCCTTAATTTTTTTTTGCTTATGTGCTGATTTCTTATTTATGGCAAAATATTTGTTGCTCTCTAGATTTAGTTTTCATAAAACATTTTCATTGTTTTATAAAACTATACCAGATTGTACTGAGCTTTCGACGTTTTATGAGGCTTTTGTGCATCCTAACTAGTTTTGTTGAGCTGTAAATAACTATTATTTTAATATTTATTCGTGTTTGTTTTTCTATTTTGACTTTTCCCATTCTCTAAACGGTTTCAGATTTTGAGTTCGGATGTAGGTATTTTCGATTTAATAAAAATATAAAAACATATCTATTTAACATTCTCTCGTTTATTATCACCAATTCTTTGGTTTCGCATCTTTCGATAAATATAGTCGGATATAAGAAGTTGAAAATCTCAAAGACGCGGAAATTGTGTATTTAAACTAAAATATGAATCCAGACCTGAGTGGCAGTCCGCCCGGAATGTTCAGTGGAGCGTTAAAGGAAATATCGAATTTGTCGCTAGAGCCGAAATGTATGGAGCACGTTCTGTCGTTGACATTTGTGTTTTCTTAAAGTCCTCATCCATTTACTATTCAGCATACTTTGCCAGACGTTGGTTCATAACGTTGCGGCAATGGGGGTTGCATTTTTGTGCACTCTAAACCGACACGATAAAGGCATATATGCGGAAACATAAAAGTAACAAATCTCGTGTACTTTGTTCTCGTAATTTTTATTTTTTTTTATGGGCCTTTCAGATGGTTAGTTCTCTGCTCAGTCTTAGCTCAATTATTTGCTAGTTACTTTTAAGCTTTCAATTTTCAAATCAATATTCCATTGTCAAGTTCATGACCAAACATTACAAAAATTCTATAGATAACTTTAAACAAATTTTAAATAAAACGGAACCAAAAGAAAAATTAAATTTAAAACTTGGGTTGACGTCTATAATTCAAAAGTCTTTAAATACAAGCACTTCTGTGTTCAAAAATAAATTAAAATTTTATATTGAAAGTTGTACTAAAAGGGTAAAATTAAAAAGAAATGAAATAAAAATTAAATCATGGATCACTCCTAGACTGGTAAAATCAATTAAAGAGAAAAACAGACTATATAGAATATTGAAAAATAATTATACGGAAGAAAATAAACTCAACTTTAAAAATTATAGAAATCATTTAAATACTCTAATAAAATCAGCTAAACGTGAATATTTTAATAAAAAAATTGAGACTAATAAAAGCGTAAGCAAAAATCTTTGGAAATGTAATAAAGAAATGTAAAATGCTAAAGAAAACAAAGTAAAAATTGAAAACTATCCAAGGGACGGTCACTGACAATCTTAAACTAATATTAAATACATTTTGTGAACACTATACAACAATTGGGGAAAAATGGCTAGTAGAATATCTACATCGACGAACTTAAACATTAGAATAAAACAAAATAATAAAAGTATATATTTATCAAATATAAACAGTGAGGAAGTTTCAGAAATGTTAAACAGCCTTAAAAATAATAAAAAACCTGGTTTGGATAGTATAACGTCTGAAATACTCAAGGAAATAAACAAAGAAATATCGCCAATTTCCAGATCCTCTAAAAGAACCCATGATAATCCTCATTTATAAAAAAGGAGATAAGCTCGAAGTAATTAATTTCCGACCGATCTCAATAATTTCCAGCATGGAAAAATAATAAAAAAGAATGTTATCATTCTTAAATAAATATGAAATCATGTCAGTCAAACAAACAGTATGGGTTTCGGGAAAACACCTCAACTTCGGATGCTATTGCGAGATTGACAAAAATAATAAATAATTGAATAGACCAAAAACAACCGTCATTATGCATTTTTCTTGATCTCGCAAAAGCATTTGATACTGTTAACCATCAACAACTTTTAGAAATAATAGAAAACATTTGTTTCAGGGGCGTAGTCTACAATTTAATGAAGAGCTATCTTCATAACAGAACACAGTTAGTCTATATTAACGATACCTTAAGTGATCCGGAGAATTTAATCTGTGGTGTTCCTCAAGGAACAGTGCTCGGTCCACTACTATTTTACATATACGGATTGGCCCAAAAGTCTGAAAACAGCCAATTATCTCGTAAATTGCTAGTCCTAATTGTACAGAATTTGGGGTACACCTATTTTGGGATACGGAGATTTCAGATTTGATATTTGCAATGTTGCCAGATTTGCCGTTTCTCTTATATTATTATTCACTTTGGTTTTTCAAATTCATCACCCAAATTCAGTCATTATTTGAATCTCCTATTCAATGCGAGGTCAACCATATATAACACTTATGATTTTATGTAGTCTGGAAGGTCTTAAATAAATAAAACAATCATGGAGAAATGTGGTAGACGCATTCTACCATCGATGAGGGTAATGTCAACTCACAAATGAAGCACATTTTGAACACTTGATAAAGTAACCATTATGTTAAAAATATTGCAATATTTTAATTGTTACGTTTTATACTCGGACAAAATATTGAAGAAGGTGATTCCTCTCTGTTCACGTACTATACCAGAGCATAATGAA